CTTCCTGCTGGGAAACCACATAGTTTCCCTTCCCTGCCAGCTTGCACCCACCCACAGCTAAAAGGACAGTGGCCTTATTTTCTCCTTAATTCCTCACTTAGTCCAAGATTGAAACTATTAGAATAACCATGTACAGACATTGTGTTTCTACCAGGAGATGCAACAAATCTTCCACTAGAAACCAGAAGTGTACAGGTGCTTATCAAGTTCCCTTCCATAGGAGAAATATCTTCCTCTTTCAAAAGATCTTTCCAGCTGGAGAGTTGCTCCCACTGGAAAGAATGCCTGTATGCCTTCCCCCACTGCTCAACTCTTCCCACAGACCAGGAGGAGTTGAACAGTGGAGAAAGGGGGAGGGGAGAGGGTAGTTCCTGGCTGGGGAAAGGCACAGGGAATAGCTACTGCTGGCCTTCTAGTCCTGGGAGATGAAACAGCAAGGAAAGGCTCTCATGCCTTCCCCAGGCCAGGGTCACTCCAGGTTGGAGAAGGGGCTGTGGGGTGGGAGCCATTGCCCTACTGCTCCTACCTCTCTAGTAGATGTGGATGAGGGGTGCTCCCCCCAAGGAGTGGAGGAGCTGCTTCTTGCCCCACACCCCCCTGCAAGTTCCTCAGGCCAGGGCCCCCAGTCTGAGAAGCAGACCGGGGTTTTCCCTATTCCTGCCCTAACAGCCACGGCTCTCTATATTCTTCCCCAGACCAGCGTCTTACTTTTATTAAATAAAAGGTCAAAGAGCTCTCACCACAATTCTGGAACACCTAGATAGGAAAAATATTATCAGGATTCAAAACTAACCCATGAAAGCATAAACAGAATTCACTACCTGAAAAATTGAAGTCAATAAAATCTAAACTGGAAACAGGATGCACTTTTCTAATAGTATATTAGGTTTCTAAGAACTGAGTAACACCAGATGATAGAAAGTGGATAATTCACAGTAGACCATTTGAGAGACCTGGTGTAATAAAGCCACAAGTTACTGAACAAGAAATAGGAGTTACGAAGTGAAAAAAAAAATTCTAGTGTATGTCATGTCAGTGGTCGGCAACATTTTTAGGTTGCAGGCTGGACTGCCTCTGCTTGGTTAGAGTTGTGAAGGCACAAGCTGAGACCCAGCCATGGTGGTACGTGGAATTGACTGCCACCTAAGCCCCATATCTGTGGGTCAGATCCCGCCCATGAACTGGAGGCTACTGAACCTTGTGCAATGTGAGCACACTAGGCAATTAAAGTGGCCCTATCTAAAATTTTAAGAAGTCACATGAACTGTTTTCTAGCTGCGACTAAACTGTGGGTTATCCAAAGTATTTGTTCCTGGGTAGTTCAATGCACTTTATTCAGAAGCCAGAAGTTGTTTAGGTACTTCCACATCCATATTCCAGTTTGTTATTACCTTGCTTCTATGTCATTAGATAGACAGCAATCCAAACAAAAATCAAAGCAAGTATATATAACCCTACTCACTGAGGCATGCTGTTGCCAAATTCTCATCCAAGTAGGATTCCCAGACCTGATTCTCTTAAGAAAATGTTTTTCCTTCTGAATTGAATACTAGAGAAGTTTGTTTATTATAAACAAAACAATAAATAGTCCCTAAAAAAAAAAAAAAAAACAGGGATGTAGATATTTCTCAAGTGTTCATTGAATATCTGTGCATACAGCCAGCCACTTTCTTCTTTTTTGGAGGAGGTGGCAGATAAGGAGGTAGCAGTGGTGGAGGCAACAGCAAGTGCCTAGTTTAGAGAGTTGCCAATAGCCAGTTGTCACAATGTACCAGCCATAGGAATTTAAGGAAAAGGTAGGTTTTGTGCAGAACTTTTACATTCAAAAGTTAAAATAAAAAGGACCAAGTCTTTTTGAGAGCGTGTTCTTCTTTCTGCTGTCTTAGTTTAATTGAAATACAGCCTCTGATTTATTATTGGTTTTTTTGCATCCATAAGCAAAGAGCAAATTAACTTTTCAGTTTTTTCCCTAAAAATTGACAAGCAGAGAAACTCTAGAAGACTCAACATTTTAGATGCAAAATAAGCTCTTGACTTGTCAAAACGACCATTAGCATAAGATTTACTGATTATACCCTATCCATCCAGTGATGATTTTAAGCTAGTAACAGATAGCTTAGAGAAATTCTGGGTCAGAAGCAATCCCCGCGGCCTCTAGTACATGTTACTAGTTTGCCAAAAGAGAATTGCTTCTTTTGCTGCCTTGCAAGTGTGAGAGGTCCCTGTACTGAACTCAAGTCCCCAGAAGCAGAAATACTAGTTAGTTATGAGAACTACAACTGGAATACTTACAGGAGTCAGCAAAGACTGCACAAGTTCTTTAATGTACATGCAGGCCTCCCTGACCATATTTGCAGAAACAGAAACAAGAGGACTTATCCTAAAAACAAATAGCTTTATTCATTCTAAAAAAGAACACCGAGTTAATACTGGCTGTGCCCCAATTCCCGCCCCCCCAATAAAGATAGCTATATTTTTGCAGCCACTAGGTCCAACTGAGTCTATCCACACAAGTGGCTACCACTTCTTAAAAAGCCATCTGTTCAGCATTTTAAACGCTTTAGTCTCCACATCTATGAGGCTATCCGTTTAGAAAGGATCAAGTCTTAGTCTCAGGAACTCAAGAGGCCAAGTTCTGCACATTTTTGCCATGGGGATTTCCATCAGCTAGTCTGATGAAGGAGGATGCTCTTGTATCCACAGCTTTACATGTGATCTCAACTTCTGAAGCTTATCATCATAGCAAAATTTCACCTTCTTACTCTGGTGGTCATAAATGCAGGCAAAGTAGAACTCAAGTTGCACAGAGAATTTTATAGATCTTTTCCTAGATTTGGCTATTTGCTTCCACATTCAGAAAAGACTACACAGCGCAATTCTATTAAATTTTATTGCTCTTAAATAGTGTGTGCGCAAGTTACAAAAACAAAACAAAACAAAACAAAACAAAAAACAAAAAGTGCTTTGACTTGAGTGTCTTCACACAGTGTAATTCCTTATCCTTTAACTGTGCATAGTAGCTTACAAAATCTTACTAGACATGCAAACCTCAAAAAAAAAAAAAAAAAAAAAAGTGCGTTTCTTTCCCAGCATTTGAAATTATCTTCTTCTATAGACAGCCCTCTTTGTTCCACGTCCTAGACATAAAAAGGAGGAAATGTTTAAGATTAGTTTTATTTTTTAAAAATAAATATGCATTTCCCACTATGGAGGTCATGTCGGCCTAAAAGGGTAAGGCAGGAGAAACCTACCAAATAAGCTGCCCCTACTGCTACAAGAAGTAAATTTGGAATTTTGAAAGTGATGCTCAAAAAATCATTCAAGCCCCTCTCTTTCTGTTATCAGAGTAGTTCTACAGTCAAGGATCCCAAATTATAGAGCACGCCAGGAAAACGGTCTGGAATGCTGGAAATTAAATTTTAAATTTGCAATAAAGATTAAGAGCCAGTTAAATATACCAGCAA